GACAAGTTCGGTATTTTACACTTAAAGCCCTGTTTTAAGATCGTTTCTGATTAAATAAAACGGTACATTTTTTTAATCTTAACCGTTCTATTTCATCAGAAATGATCTTAAAACAGGGCTTTAAGTGTAAAATACCGAACTTGTCCTTTAAATCTATTTATTTTTTAATATAAAATACACCGTAGTGGCCAAAAGTGATGTCTGGAGGAGATATTTGTTTTTAATGACCCTACAAGTTCGATTAAACCATCAAAATATGAGGAAAATATGTTATATTTGTTTTAATATCTTCAGTATGAGGGAAGACCAAACCCCAAGCTTGGTTTAAGGTATTTATCTGACAAAATGCTTTGGCAAAAAAGCCAAACAACAGCTACAGATTTTATTTTACTATGCAAAAACAAATCCATAGAAAAACTAAAAGCTCAAAGAAAAAACAATACATTAACTAGCCTAGTCATACACAATCAGTTATTAATATTTTTGTTGGTTTTCTCTTGTTTTTGCATGTGTTCTTAATTTCTTTGTATGACAGCCTGGCCAAAAATCATTTCTGCACAATTTGCTTTATCACAAATAAAACAATCGACTTCAAGCACAACTACTTTTACAATATGCTTACAAAATCTTTAACCAGTATTTATTCATATTTGAATTAAGCGTGATGTCAATTTTTCCTAGGCTGGACATCATACATTGATTGTATGTATGTATGTATGTATATATATATATATATTCACACTCAATTGGGTAGATGGATGGATGGATAGATATACAGTGTGTGTGTGTGTGTGTGTGTGTGTGTATATATATATATATATATATATATATATATATATATATATATATATTATTGCTGTCAGTTAAAGGAGCCGTATGTAAGATTGTGGCCAAAACTGGTACTGCAATCACTTTCAAATTACTGTAGAGCGGTGTATCCCCTCCCCCTCCCCCCTGACTTGAGGTTGCCAGATAGGCTGCAGGATCCAACATTTTTTTATCCGACACGTTTGTAGCTGCAGCTGTGGTGACTAGAGCAGAGCTGGCAACCCGGATGCTGCAACACTACTGACTTCGTGATTGGTAGATCGGTGGAGAGCGGAGCATCAGACCAAAACACAACATGACAACATCAACATCAGTTGAGGGCTGCAACTTCACTTTTTAAATGACAATATCATGGCTGGACTACTGTTGTCAGTGATACAAGTATTTGAAATTACCATGATTTATTAATGTCTAGTGACATATCAGGGCCATTTTATGATTATTTGAAATACATTTCTTACATACAGCTCCTTTAAACAAGTTGTTAACGGCGTTAACGCAAAACCCATTTTAACCGGTTAATTTTTTTTAGCGCGAGATTAACGGTCTTTTTGGCCTTGCAAACTTTGTAGTTTTTTCACATGCTTTTGCAACAGGACGCTGCGCTGCGCCATTCATTTCAATGGCTTGCGCCACGCGAGGACGTTTTGTTGCTTCGTCGACCAAAGCGCAAGAGCAGCGGCGCGCACACCGCGGTCAAAGTTCAAAATAGTTCAACTTTTGCCGCTGTGATGATTACCAGCGCGGCCAATAGAAACGTTTTGGCATCCAAAAAGTTTTGAAAACTGGCAAAGCGCCGCGCATTCCGCGTCCTGTCTGAAAGCATCGAATCTAGCTAGACCGGAAACACACTTGTTGCGTGCCGGCCAAATAGACGCCGAAATGGACACCAATAAGATTCTGAATGGAAAGTTTACTTTAAAAAAGTTGCCAAATGGTTCCATTGATAAGACCAAAGTGATCTGTGTGTTTTGTCGTTGTGAACTGAGCTATCATCATCGCAGCACGTCCAGTCTGAAACACCACTTGATGGCCAAGCACACACACACACACACACACACACACACACACAGCTGATGCGCATTCTCCGCCCCCTCGTCAATATCAGGACCTCGTCAGTATTTCTTTCACCCTTTTATTGATGGACAGTGTTACATTGTGTGAGAGATTATTTGCTCCAAGTGAGAATGTTAGTGTGAAATTGAACACCGTATATGCCAATGTTGTTTTCAATAAAAAACATTTGCACAAAGCAAGCCGATCCACTTTTCCATGTTGATAAGAGCATTAAAATTAGAAAAAATGATGGGACAAAAAGAAATCAAGAGACATTTAGAATAGATAAAAATGTGCGATTAATTGCGATTAATCGCGAGTTAACTATGACATTAATGCGATTAATCGCGATTAAATATTTTAATCGTTTGACAGCACTAATATATATATATATATATATTCACACTCAATGCTCAATGTATGGATGGATATGGATAGATAGTTGTGTATATATAGATGGATGGATAGATAAATAAACTGTGTGTGTGTGTGTGTGTGTGTGTATAAATATTATAAAAATGTGTGTTTATTTGTATATGTACACACATTTCTTCTAAAAAAAATAGTGGAATAAATCATGAAGACACAAGCGTTTCCTTGTTCTTGTTTTCTGAATCCCTTCTCTTCTCTGGCAGAATCTGCTGGCTTGTTTCCGGAGCGGTTCGGACAGTTTCACTGGAGACGCGTGTGAGGTGAAAGTGGCGGCCCCGTCACACTCTCCTTCAGTAGAGGCCGAGTACATGCGGATCCGGGCCATGGCTCAACAGGTGCACCTGCACACCTCACTCACCTCATGTCATAACTAATAATTCCTGACTAAGGCATGCGCAGAGTAAAGGGGCGGGGCCTGGTTGATTTAGCTAGTAGTTTGTTGAAACTTACGGTTATGTTAAGGCGAGACACGGCAGACAAAAACATTGTTTTTTCACTGGTCGATTTTGAGATTTGGGGATATTTGTCTTCAATAACATGTCTTCTTTCAGACTTGTGGTGAAAAAAAAGTCCGAAATACACATTTAGGTCTTTATTTTACTACACTTTGTCTGTTTGCGTCTGTAGATTTCTCATAAATTCATCAAAAGTTGGCGTTGTAAATCATCACCGCTCCACGATCGCGATCTGCACCCTGTCATCACACACACCGCTCTCCTGTACAATGCTGTCGCATCCAAATATGGTCATTTCCTTTTTATCAGCAACCAATCATGAAAGTAAAAGGGGGGATTTAACTGTAAATGCACAATCTCATTGGCTGATGCTAAATCTTTAATGCCCGTTTTCTCAAAATGACTTTTTTTTTTAAACTCCACGTCCGAAATCTCCACTTCAGTAGCACCAATACACACCAAACCTTCCAGTCTTGTACCTAGTTATATTATGAAGACATTTACAGAGGGATTTGTAAATATGTTATTCCTAACCTGATTTATATAACATTTTATTCCAAAAAACATGGCGAAAATCCATGACAGTATATTCTGATTTACAGGATAACAAAAGTAGATATCCATAAATCCCTCTGTAATTTTTTGGCATCTTATATGTGAACACAATGAAAAAAATAATTTTGAACCTGGCTTTATCCAATACTCAGATTTAGTTTTGTAAAATATATGCAAATTAGCACATATTTAATTAGATAATGCCTAATTTGCATATTTAAACATTACCGTAAATTACAGAAAACTTGTAATAATTTTTTTTCTCATCTTAATGTAGGTAATCAACTGGGAAAGTTTCATGGTGATATCTGCTAGTTAAAAATGTTACCCTATTCACCTGTAGTGTCTCGCCTTAAGGGGCGGGACATTTCCCAAACACACTCAATCACAACACACTGATCCCGCTGACCAATCAGAGCACAGTGTGCTTTTCAGAAGGAGGGGCTTCATAGAGACAGGAACTAAACAGAGCGTTACTGACAGACTGGGAAGAGAGGAGCCGCAACAATGGAGAATATGAGGAAAATAATCAACATTCAAGCAGGAAACCCTGTTCTAGTAGAGCCCGAAAACAACCTTATAAAAGGGCATAATATGGGTCTTTAATAAACAGCTACTTGGCTCTTTTTATGTATAATTCATTGTTTATAATGGTTGGATTAAAGCTGCAGTAGGGAGTTTTGAGAAAACGTTGACTTAGCCTGAAAATTTGAACAAGCACAACTTACAGGTCCCACCCCCTTGCTCTCTGCTGCGCTACAGCCCTCCCTCCACAGCTCGTCCTCCACAGCGGAGCCTAGTAAACAGGGCCACCCATAACGGCGGATAAAAAGTTATATGGCACATTCACTAATAGGGACTAAACGTCAACAATATGCTTTACATTGACTATGGCCTGCCCATACTTTGACTACAAACTTGGTCCTCAAATCATTATGTATTTTGCAATAGCCTACATGTAACTTTATAACGTTGCACTCTTTCTATAAGTTATAAATAGCTAGTAAGATAACGTTAATATAACGGTAACTAACGTTACAGTATGTAAGTAATTATTCTAGCGATATATAATGCTAGATAAGGTGTGCTAGTACATTATTTCAGCAACATGACAAGCCAGTGAATTAGCAGGTTTCAATTGTTGCTTAGCAGAGTGCGTGACATTTTATCTACATGTTATGCGGCTATAGTTTTGACACTGAATCAATGGGCTCTGTGTAATTCTTTCTTTTTCGCTTGGTTATCGTCATCAGTCTTTTTCCTTTTACCTCTTTGTTTTATGAGCAGTTGTCACTCGAGAATTGGCAGTTTAGGTTGTTTCTCCGTCATAAGCACAGCTGCAGCTCGCCGGCAATCTTGAGTTTGAACGACGGCTCGCGCTGTGCAAGAGAGGGGTGTGATCAGCGCGTACACGAGCGTGATTGACAGTGCTAAGACACTCCTCCCGGCTCTGATTGGTTGTTTCTGACCGGGAGCGTGTATTTCTTGCAAATGGCAATAGGACCACTGGGAGGAGCCAGAGGAGCTTGATTTTTACACAGATTATCTGTCTCATATTCTACTGTCAGGACATAATGACAGTTTTAGCAAATACATTTTTTCAAAAGTTACCTACAGCAGCTTTAATTTTCTTCTTCCAGGTGTTCATGCTAGATACGCAGTGCTCACCTAAAACTCCCAGCAACAAGGAAGGGTTTGAGCACGCTCAGTCCTGTGTGCTGATTATTGAGCTTCCAGCGGATCCGCAGTCCAACGGGCAAGCGCAGAAGAGGTGAGAGGATGGACATTTAAACTCACACTGCAGATATTTATTATTTTAATAACACTGTGTAGATCATGACGTGATACAGGACTGCAAGAAAGCGAGGGGACGCATCGCTCCCAATATTCAGTTTAGTGGTTGATCAATATTGGTTTCAGTGACTGATACGTACATTTATCCATAGACCTGATATTAAAGAACCACTTTTTATAACTTACAATCCAAAATGTTAAGTAAAATAAAATATAGTCAAGTTACAGATTAAAACTGAAATGTTGTTTTAATCATACAGTAACCTGTGTGTTTTCTTCTTTCACATGCTGTGCTTGACAGAAAAATTGGGTAAGGCAAACAAACCCTGCATGCCTTACTGTTCTTCCATACTTTTTAAAGTCCCACTGTAGTCAATCATTTTATCCCTTAAAAAACTCATTTTTTGTCATGCCTTAAAATATCTTGAATGTAACTCGACACCCTTGCCTCATTTAGTATACGCGGTTCTATGAATATGCAAATGAGCCCCGCCTCCACTCACTCACTCAGCTCAGAGATCCACTGGTTGACGATCACACGTTGATCTGATTGGTTACAAGGTCGTTTGTGACGTCAGAAACACCAGCGATTTCAAAGCGTGTTTTTGAGACTGTCTTTGGTTCACTGCAGTTTTAACCCTCTGGGGTCTGAGGTGTTTTCGGGGTCCTTGAGAGGTTTTGGCATGCTCTGACATTTGTGCTTTTTTCAGTTGCTTATAAACATATTAATGGCACAGGTGAAATTACACTCTATATAGCACACACAGGGCTACCATAATATGTGAGCAACATGTATGAACATGTTTGTATTTTTGAGAGAATATTGTTTATGCGTGGTTATTGAAAAAACTAAAAAATAAAGTTTATAATATAAGGCCACAAATAACATACTAAATATTTGTCCACAAGACTTTTGACTAGTGGATGTTATCGCCTAGAGTTTTTGCTTCAAATTGATCTGAAAATCATTCTGCCTTATCATTCACATAAAACAATAGATTGTTTTAAATTGTGAAAAACATTTTTTTGTTTGCAAAGGCAATATGCGGATGGGCGGAACGGCCCAACCCCCTCATGAATAATTAGGCAGTTCTCACCTGAGCAGTCTGCATACTAATGAGCCTTTCATTCAGGGGTGTCACACAAGAAAGAATGCAAGGACAATATATATACACTACCGTTCAAAAGTTTGGGGTCAGTGAGAATTTTATTTTTATTTTTTGGAGGAAAGAAAACAATACTTTTATTTATCAAGGAATAATTAATTTGATCGAAAGTGACAGTAAAGACATTTATAATGTTACAAAAGTCTTTTGAACTTCCTATTCATCAAAGAATCCTAAAACAAACAAAAAAGCTGTACAACTGACAGACCAACAACTGTTTCAACATTGATAATAATAATAAACGTTTCTTGAGCATCAAATCCTCATATTATACTGATTTGTGAAGGATCATTTGACACTGAATACCCTGACACTGGTGATGCTGAAAATTCAGCTTTGATCACAGGAATAAATTACACTTTACTATATATTCACACAGAAAACAGCTGATTTACACTGGAGATAATATTTAATACTATAACTGATTTTTGTTGTATTTTTAATCAAATAAGCGCAGCCATGGTTAGCAGAAGAGAATTCTTTTAAAAGTATTTAAAATCGTACCGACCCCAAACTTTTGAACGGTAGTGTATATAAATAAATAAATGTTTATACACACACACACACACACACACACACACATATATATATATATATATATATATATATACAAACAATCAAAATTTAAATGAAAGCCAAAAGCACATTTATAGTCACACCTTTTAGCCATCCACATACCATTTTTAGCCATCCACCGCGGTAAAAATAAACCAGTCGCATTGCAAAGTCGTTCGCGAAATGACCGCCAGGTGGCGCAAAGGGACATTTAGCAAAACGTAAGTGGGGCTAATGTCTATTAACAGTAGCCTAAGGATGAAATACTACAAGTTATGGTAATTTCCAAATAAGCCTACAACAAATTGTTGGTCATACAGATAAGATATAATCTTTTAAAACTTTAAAAGGCTAAAGTAGGCCTACACTCTCACAGGCTAAAGACAAAACGTTTTCTCGCTCATGTCAGAAACAGACGTTTGGGTATTTCTCAGTGAGAAAATTCATAGCCGAGCGGTAGAACTTACGGTTCATCATCAAGATGACACGGGCTCAAATCCCGCACAAACATGGTCTGCTGTAAATTTTATATTTATTATTGCAAAGAGATTTGTCTAGCTCTAAAACTCTGTTACACCATACAGTTTTTTTTTTTGCTTATATTTATAAAATACAATTATCATGCATTTCCATTTTACACTAAGTAAAAATACAAAAAAACAAAATAGTATCCAACAGAACGACTTTGCATCTGTATAATAATAGGCTACCAATCGTAATTTCAAAAGCAGTTCTGTAAAAAAATAAATTATATATAGCCTATATATATAGGCTATATATATATTATTTTTTTTATTCCAGGCTCTCATGCCACACCCCCGATTTCTCACGCTGAAGTGTCAACCCGGTCGGTCAAATTCCTGAAGGATATAGTTTATCTATAGATACCTGTTGAGCCACTCGTGATCGACTAGTTATTATACCGCAAATTAGTTAAAATATCCCGTAATCTATCTAGAGCGAGCGTGCATGCGAGACAGATATTGTGCTCCAAACCGTGCGCGCGCATGGCAGAGAGGTCTGTTCCCTACAACCTAGAGTTTTTAAAAACATGGTTTTAAGTAAAGTGTGATTTGCCAGGGGGATTGTGATTTCCTTCTGGTCTAAACATCCCTGCTTCTGCTGAATTATTTTAATCCCCACACCCCTCCCTCCACAGCTAATCAATGCTATAGGCTACTTCACCAATATCAAATATATAAAATAGAGATATGCAACAGGCACGTTTAAACGACAAACAATAAAATCAAAACCAGCGTTTCAGTTGTTCATTAGTTCCAGTGGCCTTAATGCATGCACGGCTTTTCAAATTTCACAAAGCGTGTTGAGATTATTTTGAATGAAATATTGAAGTTTATAATTAAGTGTTTTGGCACACCACGCCGAGTGGCCCTATGCATTTTTCTAAAGTCGGGTTTTATTCTGGCATGGTGAGTTAGTGTTCGACAAACACGGCGGCGCGTTCATTTAGATTAATTTATTTTTCTCATTATTACAGCTAAAATAACTTAGTAGGCGACTCCGTAATTTTTTGGTCATACAGATAAGAGTAGAGTAGCTTACATCGTTCAAAACTGTAAACTTGTATTCATATTAGGCTAACGACAAAAACAGTATAGGCTATCTGTCGTCTCTGTCTTCGGGAACTGCGCGTCACAAAAATGAACCGAAAGCCACTTCAGCTCAGTCACGATAAGAAATCGGCTATGTCTAAAGCCTTTAAATGTCTAAATATTTAGGCTAATAAATGTTATCTGATTATAGGCTAATCCATATGAAAACTAGAGGAACAGAGGATCTACTCAAACATGCAATGTAAGCGCTTCCCAATGAGAAAATGACAAGACAAGGGTGAAAATCTCGCTCTAATTAAATGTAGGCTAAATCGCCCTGAATTAAAATGTAAAAACAGATCAAATAATGTATTTGTCGAAATGTTGCGATATTGTTTCATTTAAGTTCATAATTGTTCTATAAATGTTATTTAATTTAGCAGCATTACCACGAAGCACCGTGTTTCGCTATTTATTTGAATAATACAAAATCAAATAAAAACTTAATTCACAAATTGCATGCCTGGTTGTAAGGATCCAAAGATCCCTGTAGACTTTAATATTGAGTTGAACATTTTGTTCATGACAACAAATTAACAAGCGTTTTTTCAGATTATATTTAGTTTTGCTTGGAAAAAGCTGCCCCAAACCAGTTTTATTTCATCAATTATTGAAATAATGAAATATTTAGTAATAAACTTTTATGACAGAAATATCACTAGGCTACATGTAATTCCATTTAATTCCTTCATTATCAACACTGTCTAGAATAGCGATTTAAGTGTGAATTGCGACTTCTCTTTGTGTTAAGTCAGCCTCAGACTCCGATAGCCCGTGGGGGGGTTGGAGGGACAGTTGCTGGACAAAGGTGTTAATGTTCCTCTTTCATATGGAGAGTGTCGGATAGCCAGCCTGATGAGCAGGCAAAATTATTGTAAGGATAAATCTGTGTCCAAATGTAGGCCCCATATTTTATTAAATTATAAATATTGTAGTTTATTTATTGTAGCCTATTTAAAGTTTTTTTTTTCACACAAAATTTCAATTGAAGTTATTGTACGGTGAATTCAACAAGGCATGCTGTGTCTTTGAAGCAACAATTAAAGGCTAAATAATTTTTTCGTGATTTGTATGGCTGACACGCAGCGACATATACAGTAGTATTATCAAAGCGAGGGAGACTAAATAAACTTGTTAAAAAGAGATCCAGCGCGAGAGAGGCAAAGAGAAACGCATGTTTTTAATTTAAATATGTTTCTTTGGACAATTTTCGTTTTGTACTGTTTTAATTGTTTAATTTAGCTGTAATTTCTTTGACAATAAGAAATTAAAATGTCGCAAGAATAAGATTAGCCTAGTGTTTCTTATTTTGCATCGCAAAAGAAATAAACTCTAAACCGATGCAACCCTGTTTTAAATTAAAAAAAAACAGTCCCGACACTTTATTTAAACCTTGAAATGTTCGAACTTGGTTTCAAACATAAGTAATTTTTGTGTTCTTTTACATTACACAATAATTTAGCAGACTAAAGACGAGCTTCTTCATTTTCATTTTCTGATGCAATCGGCTGACAATCTTCCTTCAGTTTTTGTCGTTTGTGCAGCGGCTGCGGTTCTACAGGAATGTAGCAAATTTATGTTGTAATGATAATTAAACAAAACTCTTGACTTTAAATAAGTAAACAGTTATAAACAGTTACCTATTTAAGCATCAAGGTGGTAAGATATAAACGCTGTAGGCCAAAATCGGTTAACAACATGTAGGCCTATGCTACATTGAGATTCGATCTCGGGTGGATTGAAGCTCCTCGAAGCTCGTGTTGTTGCATTGCTCACTGAGCTACCGTCTGTACGCTGATAAAGTTGTAAAGCCTCATTCATGTAGCCTAAATGTTTTTATTGCAATGTGTTATGTTGAAATGTTTTCATTATTTATTCAATTACATTTCAGTAGCCTAATTTCAGTATTGTGATTATTAATTATTTTAACTACGTTTCACTTGTTGAATTCTTCTGCTACCAGCTTTCAATCGCTCTGAATCAGCGCGGTGCGGCAGCAGATTACACATTAGAGAGAATAAACCGGAATAAACGAACACTTTTCAGAGTCTATGATTGTAGCGCCTCTTAGCGGTAAAAGGCAGCAAATACACCACACATTTTACCGCCGCGGTGGAACGGCTGATGTGGGCATTGTCATGGCTTGCCTCGACATTTGCGTTTGAATAGCGCGCGTCCTCCGTGGGCGTGTCAGATTAACGCGTAATGAAGTGTAATGAGCTGGGGAAAAAAATACTGACAGCACTCTCTTTTCATACAGATTGCATAAACTGAGAATATTTGTTTTTTATATAAATTACTTCATTTAAAAGAAGAGAATTTAAGCTTCATAAAGAAAAACCTCTCGTGCCTGTGTGACAAGTAATCGCGGAGTTACAGTTAATCTTAGGACGCGTTTCAGAATGGACTTCACTGACAGAGAGAACGCAGAACTCGCATCATGTTTGTTTTTCTTTATTTGGTGAAAAGCACAACACTTTGTTTTTATTGTGAGTATCCACAAAAAAAATAGAAACTTAACAGGATCTAATGATGTACAACACTTATATGTAAGATCAAAATTAACCGAGTATTTTGAGTCTCTTTTACACTGATAAGAAAAAAAGCGAGACAATCGCGCCGGCGCGATAGCCGACCCCAGGGGGTTAAGCAGAAAATACTCAGCAATGCTGTCGACTTATGAACTTACACATGGTTTGTCTTAAAGCGTATTAAAAACATCACATAGACGCATAAACAACATTAAAAGCTGGATTTTCACCACAGGGGGACTTTAAAGTAATCTATTGATCACATACAGAACAGGGTTGTACACTGCATGGCACTGCTTTTGTTTAGATTTTTTGTATACCAATTAGGGATGCACCAATACGAAAATTTTGTCCGAAACCGATAATTCTTCATATTTTAAAGCCGATTACCGATATATTGGCCGATGAATCTAAATCCAAATTTTTATATCATTTTTGAGAGCCTGATTACAAAAGTCTCACTATTAAAAGGTGCTATATGCTACGTATTTTTTATGTAGCCCACAGTATATGACCTTAATTGTATTTTCCTTTTTTGAAGTGATTCCAATCATATTTCAAGCAATTAAAAAAAAAAAGTGCTTAAATATATCAGCCAAATTTTCTTATCGGGCCGATCACGACAACATCAAAAATGAACCTATATCGGCAGATACCGAGAGGGCATGGAATAGAAACAAAGAAAGTTAATTTTAGGACATAGGTCTCACACACGTACTACTTCTCGTGCTTGTAAATGAAATTCTAATCCTAAATTATCGGTTTAAAGTCCGAAATTCACGTCTGAAATTTTCGCACGTTAAAAAATAAATACGACCTCACGTTGTGTCAATCATGCGTGCACACTGCCTAAGAAACTTTCGTCCGTCATCAAAAAAAATTGGATCGGGTTCGATTTTCTGCGTTTTTCAAGCAGTTTGAATGGTGTTTTGACAATTCAGAGCCACCGAATCACGAATACGAATAAACGCATAAGAAAATGTCGGACTCAGTGTTCAAGGGCCTTAAAGGGATAGTTCACCCTAAAATGAAAACTCGTTAAAATAGTCCGAGTGACTACAGTGGCTCAACCTTAAGTTTATCAAGCGACGAGAATAATTTTTGTGCGCAAAAAAACAAACAAAAATAACGACTTTATTCAACTATTCATTTCCTTCTCTGTGGGCCTCGAGATTTCACTTAGTGAAACTACGCTAAGCTTCTAGGTTGTTCGTCACACACATCACACACACATGACCAGCGTCGGCCAATAGTGAGCCTACGTGTGACGTGCAACCCAGAAGCGCTGCGCTGTTACACTACGTGAAATCTCGAGGCCAACATAGAAGGAAATTAATAGTTGAATAAAGTCATTATTTTTGTTTGTTTTTTGCGCACAAAAAGTATTCTCGTCGCTTGATAATCTTAAGATTGAGCCACTGTAGTCACTCGGACTATTTTAACGATGTCTTTAAAGACCCACTCCGATGAAAATAATGTTTTTCTAGGTGTTAACATGTTCTTGTGGCATTTTTCTGATGTTAGAGGACATATCTTGAGAAAAATAAGCTCAAAGTTGTATTTCTGAGTATTTCTACATTCAAATGGCTGTGGATCAGTAGCAGACGCTAAAATGCCGGCTAAAATAGACTGGAGTTGTGACGTAGTAACTCCACTGGGCGTCTCCACACGCGACGTCTTGGAGTGAAATAATGATCGGTGATAACTTTGATTAACTTCGGATAATAATAATTAACGTGTATATAATACTGTTGCCCCACCGGTATTGGGGGTGTAAGCTAGCGGGAGAGACAGAGCTCTCAGCAACGGGCAGGGGGAGGGGCGTCTCCGTGCCAACGGCTCCGCCCACAACGCAGAGGCGAATTGCTAATGAGCTACTGCCGCTCTGCTGAAGCGAAGTCCCAGAAAACGGCACAGGTTTTGTGATTTTAGCTAAAAATGGCATAATCATAATTTAAAGACCACTGGGAATGTTTAAAAATAGCTCAAAATATGATCGGAGTGGGACTTTAATAACTTTTCTGGGCCGGCCAGTTTCAATCCCTTAAGAAGCCTATGGAGTGATCCAGCTCTCAGATTTAATCAGAAATATCTTAATTTGTGTCCCGAAGATGAACGAAAGTCTTACGGGGTTGAACAACATGAGGGAGAGTAATTACTGACAGAGTTTACATTTTGGGGTGAACTAACCCTTTAAAGCGAACCGAATGCATGTTTCTGTGCAGGATTCCCTTCAGGACTCTGGTGGTGAGTTTGCTGTCCCATCAGGTGCTCCTCCAGAACCTGTATGATATCCTCTTGGAAGAGTTTGTGAAGGGCTCTGGGATCCCTGAGGGCCAGGCCAGGGTCCCGGTAGTGCCGGAGCCCCGAGGCGCAGGCTTTCTCCGCTACATCTCCATGCAGAACCTGGCCATCATCTTTGACCTGCTGCTGGACTCGTACCGCACAGCGCGGGAGTTCGACACGCGTCCCGGCCTCAAGTATCTGCTCATGAAAGTGTCAGGCGTGTGTGGAGCTGCCAACTTATACCGCCAATCTGCCATGAGCTTCAATATCTACTTTCAGGTGCATTTACATTCTTACCTCAGTATATACAGGGACAAAACAATGTGAGCAGCATGGAAATAGGCAATATTTTAATATTGACAAATATGTTTTACAAAAATAGGCCTTTAGTAGGGGGCGCTATTACGCATCTTCTGAAAGAGTGCAGAATCTCTGGATCAAAACACAGGCGAAGAGGAAGCAGAAACAAGGGTTTTTTTTATTTATTTTTTTATTGAACAATTATTCATGTACAAACAATATGGCAATATTATTAAATCTTAACATTTGAACATACAGAGCAGGTGCATGAAAGAACAAATACTAAAAAAACAAAACACACACAAAATATATATATATAATAAATAATAAAATAAATTAAATTAAGGGGCTAAGGTTTTTCTTTTAAATCATATTCTTCTATGATGGAAAAAAGACCAATTGCGTATTTCTTTTTTATCACTTTGAGGGCTTTTTTATAAGAAACAAATTCACCATGAAATGCACAGAACATTGGTTTCACTTTTAGGTATTTTGATTTGTGTACATAACATTTACCAAGCATGAGGATATTGTTAACCAGGAAGTTATCTTTGTTATTGTTCATTATAAGTCCATAGATAATGTCCTTTGTAGTGTAGTCTTCGAGGTGAGGTATCTTTGGGTAAAGCCAGTCATAAATATCAGACCATAAGGCCTCCACATACATACAATGAAAAAACAGTTATAGCATATGTAAGCAGATCCATATGTGAAATAACGCAATCATTTAACAGCATATAAATTAAAACTGTCTAATGTTACTGAATGTAATGTCGATCCAGGACGAGCTTTGAGGGTGTTGATGTACTCGATCTACTCCTTCTGTGTCTTGATCATCGTCCTGAATCTGATTCAGATGTAGTCTTTGACAAAAACATGATTTTATCAGCTTTTTCCTTAAAATTTTTGCTTTTTTTATAGTGTTGATAAAAAAAAGAAATGTATTAAGCTAGAATAAGACTGTTTTTTGTTGTGTCTGTTCTTTCTTTTGATATATTGCGTGTTCAGATATTCATGCAACAAAATATTCTGTGGCCCATAAAACTTTTGTGAAAATAATCCAAAATCCTGGCGCTTGCTGGCAATTTTTTTCAAAAATGCTGAGTTAATACATCTTTTGAATGTGGTCTATCAGAACATGTTGAAGGAGGGAATCTGCTTCTCACTCAATAATATTCACGTCAGGTGATTAAACTGACCAGAGATGATGATGAAGTTCATCTTCAGGCTCTAACGGTCCATGTTTTATGATCATAACACCATCTTTTTCACATTTTAGCAGTGGTGTCTGAGGCAAAATCGGTAACACTTTACTTGAAGGGGTGTGCATAAGACTGACATGACACCTTCATAATCATGACACGACACATGTTATGAATATGAAGGAAGTTTTATGCATGTTTGTGACAACTGTCATTAAGTGTCATTCGCTCAGTTATGACATTTTTAATGCAAATATGACATTGTTTAAGATGTCTTTGTTATGACACCTTGATATAAACCAATACATCATAACCTGTCAGTGTCTTTGTCATGACAACTTGACATTACTAAGACAACACAACCTGTCATAAACATGACATAGCAGATTAACTATCAAACTTAAGAAACCACTTAGCTTTATGGGTTAACATTACATTAAACTGTCAGGTGGTTGGTTTTGACATTGGCTGTCATAAGGCCATTATAACTGTTTAATGACAAATTCAATGTGTACCACTGTAGTTGAGGTCAAGAAAAATATTCATGACACAGTTATAATGGCCTTATGACAGCCAATGTCAAAACCAACCACTGACAGTTTAACTTAATTTAATGTCAAGTTGTCATGACAAAGACACTGACAGGTTATGATGTTATGGTTTATGTCAAGGTGTCATAACAAAGACATCTTAAACAATGTCATATTTGCATTCAAAATGTCATTATTGAGCGAATGACATTTAATGACAGTTGTCATAAACATGCATAAACCCTACTTCATATTCATGACATATGTCATGTCATGGTTATGAAGGTGTCATGTCAGTCTTATGCACACCCCTTCAAGTAAAGTGTTACCGTAAAGGCTTTAATTGGTGTTGGTTTTGTGAAGTTTTCTGTGGTCAGGTTTTGTGGAAACGGTTTTCAGGGTGAATATTGAGGTTTGCTGTCAGTTTGCTGCAGTGGTTCTGTGTTGTTTGGACACAATCCTTCTTAGTGTTCGACGTCCCTGTCATTCACTTTCAGTTTTTGCCCTCTATTCTTCTTCGCTGATAAAGTCTTGCCATGCTTTGTGTTCACGATCATAATCATAAAGACTGTTGTTCTTAAAACACACAACAATTGGGCGGTTACAGATCCTCTTGATGATTTGCCCTTTTTAAATGTCTGACAAGTTGTCCATTAAACTCACATCTTGTACTAAACACGGCTGAAAACCACTTATACTGATATACAAACTAGTGAATATAAATAACAAAAAGATGAAAGATAAGATTTGTTTTTTCACTGTAGCCTACAACAAATAATAATAATCCTATAATAATGGATGTTCACATTATTTTGTCCAACCCCTGTATATTTGTATGTGTGTGTTTGTGTATTGATGATCAATAATTAATAGTTTCTTAAAAATACATTAACCAATGTTAAAAGCAGTTCTTTTGAACTTTTTATATATTATAAATATATCATGGTTTCCACAAAGCAGCAAAAACTGTTTTCAACCTAGTAGATGTATTTTAAAAAGGTAATAATCAGAAATGTTTGAGCAGCAAATCAGCATATTGTAATGATTTACTGAAGGATCATGTGACACTGAAGACTGGAGTAATGATGCTGAAAATTCAGCTTTGATCACAGGAATAAATTACAGTTTAAAATATATTCACATAGAAAACACTTATAAATATAATAATATTTCACAATATCACTGTTTTACTGTATTTTTTTACTCCGAGCAGGAGACTTCTTTCGAAAACATAAAAAATCCATACCAAACTTGACCAGTAGTAGTGTATATATATATATATATATATATATATATATATATATATATATATATATATATATATATATATATATATATATATTTATATACATACATACAGTTGTGGTCAGAATTAATGGCACCCCTGGTAAATATGATCAAAAATGGCTGTAAAAAATAAAACTGCATTGTTTATCCTTTTGATCTTTCTTTCAAAAAATTTGCAAAAAAATCTAACCTTTCATTGAAGTAAAATAATTAAAAGTGGGGGGAAATCACATTATGAAATGAATGCTTTTCTCCAAAACACGCTGGCCATAATTATTGGCTCCCTGTTATTGAATACTTTTTGCAACCTCCTTTTGCCAAGATAACAGCTGTGAGTTTTCTTCTATAATGCCTGATGAGTTTGGAGAACACCTGACCTGAGATCAGAGTCCAGTCCTCCATACAGACTCTCTCCAGATCCTGCAGATTCACAAGTTCATGTTGCACTTCTTCTCTTCAGTTCAGCCACTCATCTTCTATGGGGTTCAGGTCAGGGACTGGGACGGTCATGGCAGAAGCTTCATTTTGTGCTCAGTTACACATTTTTGTGATGATTTTGAGTTTGTTTTGGACCGTTGTCCTGATGGAAGATCCAACCACGGCTTATTATAAGATTTCTAGCAGAGGCCGTCAGGTTTTGATTTTTTATCTGTTGGCATTTGCTAGAATCCATAATACCATGTATCTGAAAAAGATGTCCAGGACCTCCAGCAAAAAAATAGGCCCACAACATATAAGATCCACCAGTATTTAACCCTGGGCATGGGGTACTTTTATCCCTGTGTGTACCAAACACATCTGGTGGGTTTGCTGCCAAAAAGCCCTTTTTTTGTTTCATCTGAGCACAGGATCCGGTCCCGTTTAAAGATCAGTCGTGTCTGACAACTGAATATCCTGGGGTTTATTTTTGGAGGAGCGAGGAGGATTTTTCTTGAAACCCTCCCAAACAACATGTGGTGATGTAGGGGTTGTTTGATATATATTTTAGGGCTTTCTGACCCCAAGACTCAAGTAATCTCTGCAATGCTCCATCTGTGATCCTTGAAGAGTCTTTGGCCACTCAAACTTTCACCGTCTATTAAGGCAATACAGACACACGTCCTCTTCCTGGCAGATTCGTAACATCTTTAGTTGATTGGAACTTCTTAATTATTGCCCTGATGGTCAAAATGGGGATTTTCAATGTTTTAGCTATTTTTTTACATCCACTTTCTATTTTTGAAGCTCAACAATCTTTTGATGCACATCAGAACTATATTCTTTGGTTTTACTCATTGTGATGAATGATTAAGGGAATTTGGCCTTTGTGTTTCCTCATATTTAAACTCCTGTGAAACAAGAAGTCATGGCTGGACAATGTCATGTTCCTAGTCACCCTGGTGTGCTACATTTTTTTAAAAATATACTTCAGAGATATTTTACTCGTATAAAATTCTAGAGGTGCCAATAATTATGGCCAGCGTGTTTTGGAGAAAAGCATTTATTTCATAGTGTGATTCCCAACTTTCAATTCTTTTACTTCAATGAAAGATTAGATTTTTGCAATTCTTTTGAATGAAAGATCAAAAGGATGAACAATGCAGAGTTATTTTTTAAAGCCATTTTTGATCATATTTACCATTAATCTGACCACAACTGCATATTAAAAATAGTATGTGTATAAATGAGCAAAAGTTGTTAGTTTCTGATACCAATGACTTTCTGATATTTTGCATAGCAACAGTAATCACTTTGACAGCATAAGCGCTGTCAGTTTTGCTGCTGCTGTTCTGACACACTCGAGATGTGTGAAACCTTGCTGTGTTCATTTGTGTTTTTTAAGCGTAAGGATTCTAAATTTCAAGTGATTTAACTGGTGAATATCTTTGTGCACTTCAGGCTTTGCTGTGTGCAATGCTGACGAACCAGGAGAACATGACGGTGGAGCAGGTGAAGAAGATCCTGAGTGAGGAAGAGGAGGGCGGCTCAGACTCCTCCCAGCAGTGCTCCTCCGAGGATGAAGATATCTTCGAGGAGATGGCCCAGGTGAGTCCTCCTCGTGCGCGGGAGAAGCGTCAGTGGCACGCTCGTGTCCCGTCTCTGAGCACGCAGCCCTCCAGCGGCGCAGACTGGGCCTGGCTGGTCAAACGCCTGCACAAACTCTGCATGGACTCGTGCAACAACTACATCCAGATGCACCTGGACCTGGAGAGCAGTTTAGGAGAACAACCCACACACCGGGCCGACCCGCTCTTTTTCTTACCGCTTTTTAATTCGGAGACGTCCACGCCCTCGACCGGGGGCCCGTCGGGTCACGGGACGCCCTCAGAGGACAGTGTCCGCCTTCACCTTGACGAAACGCCCTCGGATGAGATCCACATCAGTCCCGGTGGGTCGAGTGCAAATGTCCCCCAGCTGAGAGGAGACCGGAGAGACGGGGCCCGTAAGAAGGAGTGGTGGGAGAGTGCGGGAAACAAGCTGTACACCATCGCCACCGACAAAACCATCAGCAAACTCATGATCGAGTACAAGAAACGCAAGCAGCAGCAGCAGCAGCACAATCACTCTGTGTTCCCCAAAGATGCCAAAGCCGGAGAGAAGAGGGGCGAGGCGGGGACCCTGCGCGGGCCGGACCCCCCGGGACCCCCGAGGCCTCAGCAACTGGTGGAGCAGGGGCCGATGCGACACTCCTTCAGCGCAGGGCCCGAGCTCCTGAGGCAAGAGAAGAGGACCCGATCGGGCTCCACCGCCAGCTCGCACAACATCTCCATCAGAGACTCTGAGGCACAGATACAGGTGAGACGGGACAGGAGACCCAGCACACTCAAAACTTCTAGGCAAGACAAGTAGTTTGTTTAGTTATGGTTTGTAGGGAATTACAAACCTACGCACATAACTATAGAATCAATTCTTAATGCGCATGTGAACGCCATCAGCGTTTATCACAGGTTCAGTTTAAAGTCTGTTTAGAGAGAACGGCGTCGTCTTAGCGGCCCCTAATTTAATAACAAATGATCATTTCCCCGGAAGTGAATCAATCAAAACAAACTTTAGCTGGAAAATAACATTATTCAAGAATCGCTATAAAACCAAACCAATCTCTGTTACCTTAAATTATATTAAGTTTATCTCTGTAAAGCTGCTTTGAAACAACCTACATTGTGTTGTGGCAAAAATTCATCTCAAACAAACATCACTGCGTAAGAGACACTCAGAGTCAAATTATATAAAATAGAAGTATTTATTCTTGCAAGAATAGGAGCAGTCTAATACACAGTTGTTACCCTGTGCAGAAGAGTGACACACCCCCAGACAGACTGAACTAGCTTTTATCTTAGTTTCAAGGCCTTCTTCCCCCCAGAGCCTTCCTCCCAGTAGTTTTCCATAGACGTCACTAGTTGGCCCACTAAGCTCCCCTGCACCAAATGGCCTTCTGACATCTAGGTCAGAGGTCCTTGTTCGTCTGTTCTCTGGAGTGTCTCCCTCTTCTGCCTCCCCAGGTACATAAACAGAATCTTCTCTCACTACAAGTGAGAGACACACATGTGACATTCTTTGAATCATCTATATTTAACTAAAGATCAATGAATATCATTAAAATTGCCACCACAATTGTTAAAAGCGCTATATAAATGAGGATGACTTGACTCACATCAGCAAGCATCACCGCAAATAAATCATTTTAAAATCATAAATATAATGCATTTACCAAAGTTGACATAGGTCTCGTTTACACTGTCAGTGAAATGTGTCCCAATTCTGATGTTTTGCTCATATGTGACACAGATCGGATGTGTTCTAGGACCGTGTAAACGGGAACAAAACGCATGCATTCGGATATTTCAGGCCTCATTCATATGTGGAAATAAATCAGATATACACTCACCTAAAGGATTATTAGGAACACCTGTTCAATTTCTCATTAATGCAATTATCTAATCAACCAATCACATGGCAGTTGCTTCAATGCATTTAGGGGTGTGGTCCTGGTCAAGACAATCTCCTGAACTCCAAACTGAATGTCAGAATGGGAAAGAGAGGTGATTTAAGCAATTTTGAGCGTGGCATGGTTGTTGGTGCCAGAGGGGCCGGTCTGAGTATTTCACAATCTGCTCAGTTACCGGGATTTTCACGCACAACCCTTTCTAGGGTTTACAAAGAATGGTGTGAAAAGGGAAAAACATCCAGTATGCGGCAGTCCTGTGGGCGAAAATGCCTTGTTGATGCTAGAGGTCAGAGGAGAATGGGCCGACTGATTCAAGCTGATAGAAGAGCAACTTTGACTGAAATAACCACTCGTTACAACCGAGGTATGCAGCAAAGCATTTGTGAAGCCACAACACGCACAACCTTGAGGCGGATGGGCTACAACAGCAGAAGACTCCACCGGGTACCACTCATCTCCACTACAAATAGGACAAAGAGGCTACAATTTGCAAGAGCTCACCAAAATTGGACAGTTGAAGACTGGAAAAATGTTGGCTGGTCTGATGAGTCTCGATTTCTGTTGAGACATTCAGATGGTAGAGTCAGAATTTGGCGTAAACAGAATGAGAACATGGATCCATCATGCCTTGTTACCACTGTGCAGGCTGGTGGTGGTGCTGTAATGGTGTGGGGGATGTTTTCTTGGCACACTTTTCTTGGCACACAATTGGGCATCGTTTAATAATAATAATAATTCATTACATTTATATATCTAGGTACTCAAAGCGCTTCACATAGAAGGGGGGAGTCTCCTCAACCACCACCAATGTGCAGCATCCACCTGGATGATGCGACGGCAGCCATATTGCGCCAGAACGCTCACCACACACCAGCTTACTGGTGGAGAGGAGACATTGATGAAGCCAATCAGTATATATGGGGATGATTAGGAGGCCATGATGGACAGGTGGCCACTGGGCGAATTTGGCCAGGATGCCGGGGTTACACCCCTACTCTTTCGAAAGACATCCTGGGATTTTTTGTGACCACATAGAGTCAGGACCTCGGTTTAACGTCTCATCCGAAGGACGGTGCTCTTTGACAGTATAGTGTCCCCGTCACTATACTGGGGCGTTAGGACTCACACAGACCACAGGGTGAGCGCCCCCTGCTGGCCTCACTAACACCTCTTCCAGCAGCAATCTGGTTTTCTCAGAAGGTCTCCCATCCAGGTACTAACCAGGCTCAGCCCTGCTTAGCTTCAGTGGGCAACCAGTCTTGGGCTACAGGGTGATATGGCTGCTGGTTTAAATGCCACGGCCTACCTGAGCATTGTTTCGGACCATGTCCATCCCTTTATGGCCACCATCCTCTGATGGCTACTTCCAGCAGGATAATGCACCATGTCACAAAGCTCGAATCATTTCAAATTGGTTTCTTGAACATGACAATGAGTTCACTGTACTAAAATGGCCTCCACAGTCACCAGATCTCAACCCAATAGAGCTTCTTTGGGATGTGGTGGAACGGGAGCTTCGTGCCCTGGATGTGCATCCCACAAATCTCCATCAACTGCAAGATGCTATCCTATCAATATGGGCCAACATTTCTAAAGAATGCTTTCAGCACCTTGTTGAATCAATGCCACGTAGAATTAAGGCAGTTCTGAAGGCGGAAGGGGGTCAAACACAGTATTAGTGTATGGTGTTCCTAATAATCCTTTAGGTGAGTGTAAATCAGATATGTGCCAATGCGACTCATGTAAACCGGCAGATCAGATTTTCTGAGGCATTAGGCGACGTCTCCGCGGTTTAATGACGAGAGCAACGAAACGTCGTGTCGTTGACCGAGAGGAATGTGGACACACGCTGACACAACATGTCTGAGGTCGTCTTGCTCATCCTAAAATTTCAGACCCACTGCTCCTCGTTAAAGCCCGCCACAATATGCTCCCGCCAGTCCTGAGGCCTCTCTCGCACTCAATAACTGCAATACTCCAACTCCAATAAAGTTACCATCAAGTGTAACCTAATTCTGTATTTTTAGCTAAGCAGAATCATGAATATTTCTATTCTGGCGTCACCATTGACCTGATCATTCCTGATATAACACCGATGTAGCATTTGAAGGAAAAGTACTTTTTATTACCTGTTTATCATGTGTCCTAGAAGTAATCATATTTTAAGCCAATATTTTGGCTTTATTTAAAGTATCGTGAGAGTATAATATCATATCGTGAGATAGTATCATGTATCGAACCGAATCGCATATTTACACATCTACTTTTTTTTTTTTCAACAATTTTGCTACGTATTTTGTTTTGTTTTATAGCCTTCGGAAGGAATTTAACCGATTTGTGACATTAAAGGAGTAGTTCACCTCAAAATGAAAATTTCCTGATAATTTACTCACCCCAATGCCATCCAAGATGCTCATGTCTTTCTTTCTTCAGTGGAAAAGAAATTAAGTTTTTTGAGGAAAACATTTCAGGATTTTTCTCCACACAATGGACTTCAAGCGCGACCAACATGTTGAAGTCCAAATCAATGCAGTTTCAAAGGCCTGTGAAGAGCTTCACACGGCTCTGCACGATCCCATCTGAGGAACAGGGTCTTATCTAGCCAAACCATCGGTCATTTTCTAAATGAAATAAACATTTACTAGGGATGCACGATGATATCGGGACAACATCGGTATCGGCCGATAAAAGCTTAAAATGACCATCATCGGCATATATGAATATGACTGCCGATGAGCCTTGCCGATAGTGGCGTGTTTCCTATGCGCACGTGACGACCGTGAACGAAGCATGAGCGCCAGCAACTTAAACTTCCAACTAGGGGTGTGCGTCTCACGCGGTTTTTGATCGTGTTCGATTAAAATGTCTCCACGATCTGTTTTTGAAGAAAAATCATAGTATCGTGCATTCTATCAGTTCAATTCTGGCGCCTTCATCTCAACATACTGTACAACGCGACGTACATTCACATCACATCACATGTAAACGCAGAGGTAGAGTTACACTCACGGGACACCGCAATTCACAAAAGTTCATTATTTGCATGTGCGTCAAAGTCTTGCTAGTTAAACAAGTCTTATTGCGCTAATACTGTCAAATACATACAAGGTTTACATAAACAAAGTTGGTTATGTCTAAAGTGAAAGCAAACAGAGAAAATCTGCTTGTCAAATGCATGTATATTAGACGCGTCGCGTGCAGTTCTTAAAGAGACAGTATAATATGCTCCCGCTTGTCCTTAAAGAGATACTGCACCCAGAAATAACAATGCTGTCATTATTTACTCACTCTAATGTTGTTCCAAACCTGTATTCATTTCTTTCTCATGCTTAAATATACAATGGAAGTCACTGGAGTACAGTAACTGTTTGGTTAGCCACATTCTTCCAAATAACTTTTATTTTCAACAGAAGAAAGAAATTTATTTGGGTTTAAAACAACTTGAGAGAGTAAATGATGACAATTAAAATGTTTGGGAGAACTATCCCTTTATTGTTAATAAAACAACAAAACACAAAGAGGAAACCACTCACTGCTCTTGACTGAGATCTTTAATAAGCTTTTTTTTGCACTTAAAAAAAACCCCAAATATATCAGGCATTACGTCATCATGTTGGAAACGTCACGCGTCACGTCATCTATCTGAGTTATTTGTCTGTGTAATCCGGTTAAAAAAGGAAGGAAAGGGTGAAAAATTTCATCCCATTTTCTCCTCCAACTTCAAAATCGTCTGACATCTTTGTTTTAATTTATTATTATTATTATTATTATTATAAAAAAAAAAAAAATTGTGACGTTTCCAACGTGATGACGTAATCCCTGGCGCGTCGCAGACCAGCACAAGACGAACAATTGTGATTAAAAAGTATATAAATGTTTATTTATTTTTTTAAATGACGGATGGTTTAGCTAGATAAGACCCTGTTCCTCAGCTGGGATCGAGCAGAGCCGTGTGAAGCTCTTCATAGCCCCTTTGAAACTGCATTGATTTGGACTTCAACATGTTGGTAGCGCTTAAATTCCATTGTGTGGAGAAAAATCCTGAAATGGTTCCTCAAAAAAATTTATTTTGAACATCTTGGATGGCATTGGGGTGAGTAAATTATCAGGAAATTTTTATTTTGAGGTGAACTAATCCTTTAATAGAAGAATATAGAGTCAAATTACAGAACTTCAGCTAAAGTAATTGCATTATTTTCTGGAATTGCAGACTTCTACTATGGGACTGATATTCTTTTATGCATATTTTATATGTTATGTCGATTTTCTTCCCAGGCCTGGACCAACATGGTCCTCACGATCCTGAACCAGATCCAGGTGTTGCCGGACCCCACGTTCATGGCCCTCCAGCCAGCCGTGTTCCCCTGCATCAGTCAGCTGACCTGTCATGTGACCGACCTCAGAGTGAGGCAGGCGGTGCGCGAGTGGCTCGGGCGAGTGGGGCGCGTGTATGACATCATCCTGTGATGACCCGGCTCGTGTGCTTTACTCATGTATCCTGTGTCTGCGTCTAACTTTGCTAACTCTTTTTACCGTAGTGCACAGTGATCTCTGTGTAATACCAAACCCTTCTGCGAATGTTCTTCAATATCCATGCTGTTATATTCAGAATCTATATTTTTATTTATTTATATCTCTGAATGTTTATTGGCTTTAAATGTACATGTGCCACATACAGAATTATGTTGTTTCCCTCTCATCTAACCCTTTAAAACTTCAAACTCCCCTGAACATTTCAACCAGTTAAAGTCATGATTGCTCAATGAAACGTGGGACTTAATGCACTTTCGTCAATGCTTTGATTAATATATCTAAAGCATGAGCTTGTGCTTTGCTAAATGCAGTTTTATGTTAGTATTATCACGCCATAGTTCATGTACATATTATACAATGCCTTAAAATAGAAATAATCAGTGGAATTGGCTTAAGTTAGATATTTACTTCTGTGCAAAAACACTGTAGAAGACATTATGTCCTTTTGTAGTATCAGCTATAGTTTAAAATCAGTGGCCGGATGTGTTGGCTTTGTTTCTGTCTGTAAATCTGGAAACATTCAGGTTCAACCTTCACAAGAAAGCTGTTTAATATCTAATGTCCAACGTCCATCCAGTCAGAAACTGTGTGCCATAGATCCCACTACCCATAATCCAACGGGAATCTATGGTTTAAAACATCAGAAACTAGATTTAGAGTTCACCAAACAACACTTAATCTGACTAAACTTGAATAAAACCGTGAGAAATAAGTGTAGTTTTTATAACTGCGCCGTACGTTGTCTTAAAACCCTAAAAGCCACTTGTAGAAGCTATTATCTCACACAGTTTAGGGATCTTTTAACTGGAGACTATTTATTAAAACTGGATATATTTGCACTTACAATTTTAACGCTTTATCCCAAATATATTTTATTCCTTGATCTAGAACTGCAGTTGTTTTGAATATTCATTTTTGTCTGCAATCATCTGCATGTATTATGTATATGTTGATTTTTATGTGGATATTTATTTTGTGATGCTTAATGTTATTAAGAGAAATTTGCTCAACATGTATGACAAGCTACAAAGAAATGGTATGTAATTCATATACAGTTATTTCCAAAAAGGCTACTGTGCTGTACACTTCATTATGTGCAATGGGAACTATGAGAATCTGGACCATATACAGATACACACAGATACTCTTTACACGTATCCAGCGCACACAGCCTATGTTGCGTAATCTTAGTGAGAATGTGTAATCTTTAGCTCTGTCTGCTCATATTCGGTTGTGTTGATGGCAACGGCTTGGCATAAACAACAGGGGGAGATTAAACCGGATGTTGAAAGGGACCAAAGACTAATTTATGTGACAAATGTATATTCAATATGAGATTGAATTCTGGAAAACTATTATTTTTAGCAAAACAAAGTTGTTTTTTTTCTTCTTCAGTTGAAAGCCTGATTTGTCCTGAGTCCAGGTTTTCATTTTTCTTTGTTCCTCTTCTTTTTCTAGGTACACACTGAAGTATAGTCTACATCTGTCTATTTTGAGTCGGCTTTGTAAGTAGTCGACAGCACAAACGTTCTGTTTGAACAGATTGTGAATATGTTCAGACAGTGTTTTGTCTGGACAAAAATAAGGACTTTATAAACTCTAAGGGATATTTTTAGAGGATGTTTTGTGTAAATGATTGGTTTGAGACTAGACTTTCAGCGCTTGGTCTAAATCCATAGGAAAACACTATGGATTATGTTGTGCAGACTTTAGCTAAACATAAAAATACAAGCTAAAATGTGTAATACTCAAAAACATGTCAAGTTCATAATGCCACTCCATTCCCAGTGCACTAACATTAATCATCCCATAATGTACCACGCATATATCTATTATTTTAAGGATATGTTAGTGTGTGTGTGTTTTGGAGGGAGTGCGCTCGGTACTCGTTTACTACATGCTGTTTATTATCTGACTTCTATCAATCAACTGCAGTACATGTGCATTACGCTGAATGTGTTTTGGAGTGTTTATTGGACGATCATTTATGTTGTAAGTGTTGTAGAATAAATAAGCAGAGTTACAAACCGTGTGTGTGTTTTATTATTGGCAAGATTGACTGGCCAGTTTATTCTGTTTAATATTACTATTAAATAATATATGCACATACAAAGCAAACTGATTTGCAAAAACCAGAACTTTTCTTTTGAGTGGATTAGTGACTAGTACAGATTACTAGATTTTTACAATTAATTTAAGACATTAAGTAAAGTTAACTAAAAAGTGTTTGTTAGAATCACTGTTGCAAAACAATAATGACATGTTTCGGTCATGACTGTTTCGCTAGTGACAATTTAAGATACTTTTGAGCCTAACTCAGAGATGCTAATCAGCACTTGGTTACCTAGCACAGGTCTGAAGAGTTGTACACACACACACAAACTACACTTTATCGAATAACACTTAAAAAACATGATGTCACAACCGAAACTTCAACACATGTTTCGGTAGTGACAATTTTATATATTTTGAGCCTAACTCACAGCTGATAACCTAGCACAGGTCTGAACAGTTGCACACATAAAAACTAAATTTTACACCCAAAAAAGTTTGCTTAATTGCAGAAAAAAGGTGTTTGGTAGTGATGTTACACAGATTTTTTTACTTTTGAACACTACAATGAAAGAGAGACTAAGAAATACAGGGACAATGGACTAAAACACACTGTTTCGGTAGTGACAAGAAAATGGGGGACACATTTGTTTTACATTAAGTTTCATGATTTAAAAATAAATTATAAAATAAATGTTTTTTTAACTGCACTTTTTAAAAGAAATCAAAAGGATATTTTGGTAACACTTTACTTGAAGGGGTGTGCATAAGACTGACATGACACCTTCATAACCATGACATGACATATGTCATGGATATGAAGTAGGGTTTATGCATGTTTATGACAACTGTCATTAAGTGTCTTTCGCTCAATAATGACATTTTGAATGCAAATATGACATTGTTTTAGATGTCTTTGTTATGACATCTTGACATAAACCAATACATCATAACCTGTCAGTGTCTTTGTCATGACAACTTTACATTAAATTAAGTTAAACTGTCATGTGGTTGGTTTTGACATTAGCTGTCATGAGGCCATTATAACTGTGTCATGAATATTTTTCGTGACCTCGACTACAGTGGTACACATTGAATTTGTCATTAAACAGTTATAATGGCTTCATGACAGCCAATGTCAAAACCAACCACCTGACAGTTTAATGTAATGTTAACCCATAAAGCTAAGTGGTTTCTTTAGTTTGATAATTAATCTGCTATGTCATGTTTATGACAGGTTGTGCTGTCTTAGTAATGTCAAGTTGTCATGACAAAGACACTGACAGGTTATGATGTATTGGTTTATGTCAAGGTGTCATAACAAAGACATCTCAAACAATGTCATATTTGCACTAAAAATGTCATAATTGAGCGAATGACACTTAATGACAGTTGTCATAAACATGCATAAAACCTCCTTCATATTCATGACATGTGTCGAGTCATGATTATGAAGGTGTCATGTCAGTCTTATGCACACCCCTTCAAGTAAAGTGTTACCGATATGTTTAAAAACAACAATGGAAAAATAAATAAAAAATTCAATATTATTTTTACAAGTTGAAATTTAGGGGTTAGGGTTCGGGACAGCCACCTTCCAATTGAAAGTACCCGATAAATGATTATTTTATATATATTAAGCTTACTGATATTTTAAATATTATTGTGTTATTGTATTCAATAGATAATAGAAGGATCTTTGTAAACATCTAAAATTTTAATACTTAAATGCTTTTTAAGTGTGTTTTTTGGTTGTGGTACAGCAGTTTGTACCAATTGAATGACCCATATATATATATATATATATATATATATATATAGAGAGAGAGAGAGAGAGAGAGGTATACAGCGTATATTTAACGTTATACCTATTGTTCTATAGTTTATTTTTTAAATAATGTAAACAAATAATGGCAATAATCTCCAATTGACATGCGTTGGAAAGTATAAGTTTGTGAACCCTTTGAAAATATCGGATTTCTGCATTGATTGCTCATAAAATGTGGTCTGACATTAATTTATATCCCAAAAAACTGTTACCTCAAAAAAAAAAAAAAAGTATTTTGATGTCATACACCCGCTGGTCCACGCAGCGCCGCTTCGAGTCAAACACACATAAACACTTGCGTTGTCCCTGAATGATTCGGCCCTTTTGAACAAATCGTTTGACTGAATTGCTGAAACCTGGCGGTTTACTTTCATATTTAAAATGTATGATTCCATTATGGTTAAAGAGATAGATAGCGATAAAATGCACTTTAAAATAAATAGACTATTACAAATGTGAAATAATAAAATAATTGCAGTCGCATTGCATGACATGCTTTTGTCTCTGTGAAATCCACAGGCTTTGCTTTGGGTCATCGTCATGCATCACTCAGCCTCTCTAAAGCTCGAAGTCATGAACTGACATTCTCCTCTGAAATGTCTTGATACACTCTTGAACGCACTGTCCTTCAGTGATTGTGAAGTGTCCGGCTCCCTGAGGCAGCAACGCCGCATTAAACCTCACAGTTGTGCAGATCTTGTGGTGTTGGTGCGCAGAGCCATTTTTGTCTCAACTGTCCACAGAACATTTGTTGTGGAACAACCGTGAGTATCAACCGTCTCAATCATTTATAGCCCGCATGTGTCTTCCCTTTATAAGAAACATTCTTGTGTTTTTCTGATAATAAGACTTCCGCATTTAGTAGATATGTCTAGAGGTCTTTAACTGTTATCATGAGATCTCTTTCAGGATTGTCTTCAAGTGCTCTTTGCCGGAGATCACGGAGAGAGTAGCAACTGTCCTGCATTTTTTTATTTTTTTTATTAAGCAAACAATTCAATACAGATAAATACAGCAGCAGAAAACAAATATAGACAAATATAGATATGGAAAAAGCAAGCATCAGACCAAT